AACTGTTCAGGATGAAAATAGACGGTAATTATAATAGTTTAATAATGATTTTAAGTTATAAATATTTAAATATTTAATTGCTGCAATTATAGACATGTCCGTCGTATTCGTCAGCTCGAAAGCCGTGTTCGGGACTTAGAACGGGAATTAGTAAATATGAGAGAAGACCGTGATTCTTGGATGGAGCGAGTAACCTCTAACGTTTCTGACAATTACTTTCATGAAAGTCGATATGATCGTATCCGGCGGGAGAGAGATTCATTACGAGTTCGACTTCAAAATTTAATCGATGATAATTCTAGATATAATAATAATAATTATAATAACCACAATAATAATAACGATAATAATAACCACAATAATAATAGCGATGATGATAATAATCACAATAGTAATAGCGATGATGATAATAATCACGGCCCTTTTCGAGTCACTTTCGCATAACCTTCATTTTGGTTTTGGCTTTATTTTTCATAATTATTTTTACTTTTAAGGGTTATAAATAATAATATCTTACTATCACTACAGTTACCATATTTAATGTTTTAGTGTCTTTATAAAATAAAAAGTTACACATTAATGTCAAAGATTTATAATTTTGGCTTTATCATACTTAATAGTGATGCAAACAGTTAGCTCGGTTCAGCTCACTGTTAATTTTCATAAATTTTGAAACATTTGAAAATTTTTCACCAATCAAATCAATAAGTTACCGACATCGACCTACATCAACAACTTATTGATTCGGTCTTAAGTTTTTCAAATGTCTAAAACAGCTGTGACTAATCTGGATAGATCCTTCAGCTCTGCTAACCAATCTCATACCGAGCTGAGCCGTAGCTAACTTGGGGAATGGAACAAGAAATCGTGTGAATTTTAGCCTATCAAATTTTAGAGAACAGTGTAACGTGAATTAAAAACAATTGAAGCGAAATATCGAGTAATAAAATCTTTGTATCATGAAATTTTTTTTATTAGGACAAAAAGCAGTTTCGTAGGCAAATTTTATTTTCATATTAATTTTTATATTACACCTGGGAGCAAGTTAGCAATACTCTTTATCAATTATATTTTTCTTAAAAATACATGATTTTTGATAATAAGTGACTTGGAACACCATATATATACTAATTAAGATTAGATGACTAATATAAATATTAGGCCATTTTTAGTCGATTTTTAGGTTAACGTCGATATTTAGGCTCAGACATGGAGGATTTAAACAAACACATTTAATCCCAAGAATTTTTGATCAAATCTCATTGGTCAACATTAATCACATGATTAATGAAGTTTGCGTTGTGATTGGCTTGTTTAATTTCGGGTGGGCAGTTAAGGTTTTTACTAATTTCTCCCCAGGTTTCTGATTGACTAAAATTATTTACATGTCATCTTCTTTTTAAAATATGACGCCTTGGCTAGGGTTAGTGATAGAGTCGGTAGATGCCATTATACTAAAATTTTGCAAGGAATGTTTTTATTAGTACACAAAAGATGGTTTCTTAGGCGAAAATTTGAGATTAATGCGATTTTTCAAAAAATCAAGTGTCTGTTTTAATTTTCACGTTACACCTGATCCTGCCCTCTGATTGACCAGAATTGTGAAACCTGAGTAAAATTAGTGAATGTGGCAGTTAAGCAGGGGATGACGTTAACCTAAAAATCAACTAAAAACGGCCTTATGAAAATATAATAATTTTAAAGAAAAATTTTTAGAGTTTGTTAGTTTGAAAAATTGTCAAACTTAAACATCAGTTCGAAAAATTGCATATATTCTATACTCGAGTTCTCAGACACATTCAAAGACATGGATATTTAATTTGAAGTCAAATGATATATGCGATGTGTGAATTTAGTGATTGTTTGTTCTGTTAGTCAACCCGCAGATCAACCAACAGTCAGCCGACAGGTCAACCGACGAGTCATCCGCGGGTTAACCCACCCGGGTCGAAACACTAGGTATGTAATGGGGTAATATGACCAGGGACAATGATTTTCTGCGTTGCACAGAATACCGCAGAAATCACGAAATGGAGTTGGCGGAGTTTGCCTACCTATTCTGTAGAACATCCTTAAGGGATGTATGCAACAGGGTATGTGGATCAACTGCAGCATTACAGTATGCAAAAC